TCGTGTCAAAGTGAAATATAGTGTATCATGAGTTTAACATGTAATATAAACGGTGTTTGTAACCATCTATGTGGTTGCCATATTATATACTTTTGCTGTATTAACTTTGCTTACACACGCTTGTATTATATTTTAGTATATCTTTCATTACTTTAACCCTGTCATGTATTGCCTTATTTCAGGACTACATGAGATTTGTTTACTTGGTCTGTGATATACAATGTGGTCACATGTGCTTTGGATTTATATGCTATATACTTTGTTTCCATGTGTACTCATGCTTGTGGAAGGCAATTCCAATGTAAATGATATATAATAGGTACCTACCTGTATGGGTACTGGTATCTGGAATAACTACCAGTGATTGTTATATTCTCATTTATGTATATCGTTGTTCAGTTGTGTCCAACTCTTCACGGCCTCATGGACCATAGCATGCCAATCCTGTCCATGGGGTTTTCTTGGCAAAGATACTGGAGTGGTTTGCCATATCCTTCTCAGCGGAACAGAGGTTTAAGTAACTTGTCCAGGATCACAGAGCTAGAACTCAGGTCGTCCTGACTCCAGGCCCAGTGCTTTATCCACTGAGCCACCCAGCTTCCTCCTTCATTTATGTATATATACATTTAAAATGCATGTTTATAGATGTCCTGTTGTATCCTATATAATTTGTAGCAAATGCATATTTCTTTTACTGGTGAAGGATAAGGGTTCTGCTCATAATAGCTATGACCCTAGGTTTCTCTGAATGGTGTTCCCCAATGACTAATAGGAACAAAATACTTCATTTGTTCTCTCTGACCAAAAGGCTTAGTGTCCAAAGGCAGGGGAACTAAGGCTGATCAGTCAGCTAGCTGGAGGACTAATGAGGGAAAGAGAAAAAAGTAGAGAAGATGGAGGACTTAGGAACTAACATGACTGGTCATGAGCATGCAAACTCAGATCCCATCCCTGGGGCTGAGGTGGGGTACACAATAATCAGTCTACCGTACAGTTAGTACCTAAGCAGTAGGCAGAGCTTTGTTCTTGTTTTGCTGAGTAAGGGCAACCAGCAAGGTATGCTAAAGTAGCACATGGACCTGCCCAAAGCACCTACTCTCATCTTCTACTGCAGAGAGAGAGAGAGAGAGAGAGAGAGAGAGAGAGAGAGAGAGAGAGAAGAGTTCATGAGAAATAACAGAATTGCTTGCCTTCCGCTCCCATGGACATGGAAGTGGGGCAGGGAGTAGGAAGATATGAGAAATTGGGTGGGGGTAGAGAACCTTGACCTTGGGAAGCAACTGCTGCATTTTTCATATTATTTGTTTTGCTTTGTAATCTAATTAAAAGTGATTTTCGGTAGCTTAAAGAATTTCCAGTGGATGAGGTTTGAGCCAAGAGAAACAATCCACTAAGAAGACTTAAGGAGTAAATGGAAGGTAGTGCTGGGTAGACTATCCATGCACACCCACAACCACCAATGCCAGTTAAAATAAACAGTTGGTTAATTTTGCATAGACAACCTTAAAAGGAGACTGCTTCCAAATTTTTTAATCATAATATAAAAATGCATAACTTGAGGCTTGTTAAAACTGAAAAATCACCAAATTGGAACCTCAGGACTGATGTTGAATGAAAAAATCCTACTCAGAGCAAGTTAAAGAGGAAGGAAGAAAGTTCTTCATATTATTAGAATCAGTATCTGACATCTCCAAATCACAGAAGAAGATCTTAAATTCAAAGAGAAGCACAACAGCAGTTAAAATTCTTGTGACCTATAGTCTCCTTCATGAGGCAGCTAAGCTGACCTGAGTTCAAATACAACCTCACATACTTACTTACTAGCTTGACGACTCTAGGCAAGTCACTTAACCTCTGTCAGCTTCAGTTTCCTCAGCTCTGAAATAGGGATAATAACAGCACCTGCCTCCTAGGGTTGTGAGAATCAAATGAAATCATATTTCTACAGCACGTAGCATAAAGTCTGGTGCTTAATAAATGCTTATTTCCTTCCCTTGCCTCATGATTTGAAATTACATAAGAACTATGCTGATCAATCCTGGATGAGACCACATCAAGGTTTCTGACTTCATAAATTCCATATCCCAAGATGCAACCCAAACCAGCAGGCATTTATTAAACATCTTCTATGCTAAAGCTACTGTGCTAGACAATGGGGATACACAAAATGGAAAAAAGTCCTCCCCCTCAAACTGTTTACATTCTGTGGAGAGGATACATGCACACAGCTGTAAAGCACATGCTAATTTGAGGGAAATGGAACAAGCACAAATAACTAATGGGATTAGGAAAGACTTTCCTGTTGATGCAGTACATAAAATGAGCCTTGAAGGAAATGAGGGGATTCTACAAGGCAGGGGTAAGGAAGGAGCATGTTCCTGGTACGGAGGGACAGCCTGCACCAGGGCAGGGAGGTGGAAGCGGCAAGAACAATGGTTTAGCTAATCCCTGGAAAGTAAACTGGAGCCCAATCATGAAGGACTTTCAATGCCAAGTTGAGGAGTCTGAGTTGTTTTTATTTCTAGGGGTTATAGGGAGGCATTTGAGTTTCTTGAGCATAGGAGTGGCATAGTCAGACACATACTTTGGAAGTATTACTGTGGCAGCCATGCAGAAGATCAAACGGAGAGAGGAGAGAAGCCGCAACTAAGAGGCTGCTGAAATAGTACAGGTGAGAGGCAATGAGGACCTGAACTACGGTAGCGGCTGTGTGAGTGAATAAAACGAGATGGAAACAAAAGACGTTGGGGATGCAGAAGCACAAGATCTGGAAACTAAACAGGTGTGAAGCAGGGAGTTCAGGGAGAGGGAAGAGTTGAGGATGCTTGAGGTTATGAACACTGATGACTGGAAAGATGGTGGCATTCTCAACAGAAATGGAGACATAGGGGAAGATGATGAATTCCATTTTGGACATGTTGAGTTTAAGATGGTTATAGGACATTCAGGTGGAGATGTCCAACAAAACTGGGTTGGATATATACATCTGGGAGTCACTTGCATGAAGATTATAATTGAACCCACAGCAAAGAGATCGCCAAAAGAGAGGGTACAGTGAGAGAAGAGAAGGGATATACTCCATGTATGTGGGGGTACATGGAGTACTCATGGTTAGGGGTTGGGACACTGAGAATGATCCAGTCAAGGATCAAGTTAAGGTAGATGTGTATTTTCTGATTCTTGGTTTTCTATTCAACTTCCTAACAGCAAAGGTGTTCATAACTGGTTAGTCTAGTCCCAGAAATCTAGATAAACTTTTTTTGATTCACTTTCATATTGTTTTTAAAAAAAATTCTCTTTTATTATGACCAAACATATGCAATAGATTAAAAGGCTTCAATGTCTAGAAATATATTTGGGCCAACTTCATGAAACACAGCAGATCATCAAGATAAATTTCAGAGATGGAAAAGTTTAGAAAAGAAAATAGATTGATGACACTTTTTAAAAAGCTTTTGTTTGAGAAACAAAAATGGCAACTTATTTTGAAGTTATTTGAAATGTTACTCTTTTGCACAAAAATAATCTTCCTCTTAGAGGGACTAAAGAAACAATCAGTAGTCTTGAAACTGGAAACTCCTAAATTTGCTTGAATTAACAAGTCATTATGATGGTGTTATAAAAAAAAAAATCACATGATGGACTATAAAAAAAGAACCATAAAGTTCTTGTCACCCAAAATACAAAGTGGATTTCTCCATTTATTGGGGGAAATTGTTTGTGGTAAGAAGAAAATCAGTCTTCTCTAACATTCAGTTTAACTGACATTTTACACCACAAACAAATGAGTTGTACTATCAGAGACATATCCATCTTGATGTTGGACTCAGTCTGAGGAAGGTTTCATTGGTATCATTGAAGTAAATCAGAAAACAGGTACAACAAAGAAAGTAACAAGTACACCAAATCTCAAAAGTGCTCATATAAAAAGAGCCAGAGAAAAGGGCTATGACAATGCAGCAACTAAGTTTGGCATTTAAAATAGTGTTTAGGCAGTTATTTTAATTTTGTATACATTATTAATTTATTCATTAAGTTTCTGTAGGTCCAGAGATGATATCCTTTGATAGACTAAGTAAAAAGACCTATAATTTTTTAATGGCTCATTTCATAAGCAGACTGTGTTGATTTCTGTGTTGAAAACAACCTTGAAAGGGCATAGCAACTGATACACAATGATTCTTGGGGGTTAATATCTTAAATGCTTTGTAGAGACAAACTAAATTAATCCACAAAGTCCTGGATTGTGTAATATCAAATGATCCAATATAGAACCTGGAAATCATTGTTACTATGACATAGTATTCAAATTAAATATTTTTATATTATTTACATGGCTGATATTCTTAGCCATGTTGACAAAATAACCAAAGCCTTGCAAAATAAAAATGCATGTGTTTCAAAGGAGTAGAATGATGCACGGGTCAAAAAAAAAAAAAGATATATGAGAAAATCCATTAAACTGCACATCAAAACACTTAGATAATGGTTTAAAGTATGGACATTTGTTCAGAGTTCTATGTTGTAGACACAAAGTCAAACTAATGCACTGCTATGAGTCACAGGATAAAATATGCAGTTTTTCAGACCAATAGTTATATAACGCTAAAATTTAAAAGATTCTGGATACTATTTTTTAATGCAATTTGATTAAAGGATACAATTTGATAAAAGGTATAACAAAATGAAATTACCACTGATTGCAAATTTCTTTCTGGAAGCAAATTTTTCTCGATGAATCCAACAGATTTATGAGCCAAGATAATGTAAATGGCATAAATGAAATAGCAGCAATTTAAATTCTAATGGCATAAATGAAATAGCAGCAATTTAAATTCTACAGACATTTCATTAGAAATGGAAGGCTTTAAATAACAGGCACTAGTAATCCTCCATTTCTGGAGTCAGCAACATTAGACCTACTGAAATAATACACAGATATGGACTCACTGAATCTTATACAATCCTAGAAACAGCAATGAGGATACTTTTAACCTTACCTGCAACTGGAGCATCATGTGAGAGATTTTTCAGTAAACTGAAATTAATAAAAACATACTTAAGATCTTCTCTTGCTCAAGAAAATTAATCTAATATGGCCACACTGAATAAAAAACCAAATTACAAACAAAATCAATTTAAACCAAGTAACAGTTTTGCTACAAGTAAAGCTTGAAGAGTTAAATTGTGAGAAAAGAATGAAGTATGTTTTTTCTTTCATTATTAGAATTTTGTGTATTCTTCAAAATGTGATTTTCTTTTTAACCCAAGAAATATAAATGATATATGAGTAACGGAGCCATTCTGGTTAAATACAATTCAAAGGTATGGAAATGGGGAAGGAAATTCCAGAATGTTCTCTTTTGTTACTTTTAGTACTTTTTCTCTACAATAATTTGTTAGTTTCTGTTTAACAGTTCCAAACTATAATTTGACTTGTACCAGTACTTGTGATTTTTTTTGTTCTTGTTCAAGTTGTGTTTTAATTCATTTTATGCATTTAATTTAACACTGTCCATATGTAAGCACAAATTAAATGTGTAATTGATAACTGTATATTTTGTCTTAGTTGCTTTTTGTACTATTTTTACATCACAAATTACAAAGCTGATTCGAGGGCTCTCTTTTGTATGTGCTGCTTGCCTTGGACACCAAAATTCTTGTTAAGGCTCTGGCTAAATGTGGAAAGGTGAATCTAATTATCTTACCACCCCAGGACAGAAGGGATTATAGGATTTAAAAAAAGGGCAACTTTGGCAAAAAGGGTAGTTGGGATGGATGCTTTACATGCAACCATTTTTACTTGCTGCTATAACACTCTTAAATATATTTTTCTTTGTAACTGTTGCTTCTTTAAATTCATCTGTTTTACATTGGATTTGGAATCAAAAGAGTTCCGGTTTGAATCCCACCTTTGATATTCATTAGCTGTGTGACAATGGATTATCATTTAACATTTTTGCGCCTTACTTTCCTCATTCAAAAGTGAAAATAATAATGCCTCTAAGTATCTAATTCACAGGTTATTGGGAAGACCTAATTTACATACAGTGCTTTGTAAACCTTGAAGTACTATGTTGTCAGCTATAATTATAAAATTTTTGAGTTAAAATTTATTAGATGCTTAGCTCTTGAGTAGCTTAGAGGAACAAGTAGTCATTCTGAGAAGTGGATCTGGTAGTGAAAGCTGGAACAGAATTTGAGATGTATTCAAGTTTGAGCTCTAGTAGAACTAGAACAACTTTTTCTAACTTGCCTGTGTTTAACCTTTCTGTATGGCAGCATGAGAAAGAGATAAAGGGCAAGAAGATGATGTGTGGAAAATGTTTTGAGCTCCCCTAAATGATAATAGCTAATATTTATAAAGTGCTGAAAGATTTGCAAAGCTCTAAACATAAATTATTACAGGCAATCCTCACAACAACCCTGTGAGATAGATGTTAATCCTATTTTAAAGATGAAGAAAATGAAGCTAGGAGAAGTTAAAGTGATTTGCCCAAGATGGTCAACAAGTATTTTATTAAGCACCTGCTAAGTGCCAAGTACCATGCTAAGCACTGGCTAGCAACTGCCAGAGGCAGTATTTGAACACAGGACTTCCTGACTCCAAATTTAGCACTCTTCCCCCTATATCATGCTGCATCCAGAATCAATCCTGTAATATTACTCTGACTTTCCAGGGAAAAGTAATTTAAAAAGGACAGGTCTCTCTGCCCACCTTACCAGGCCCTGAAGACTGCTGCATCTGTGCTGTCCACCAAGACATAACTGGATTTCTGTATAAAAAGGAAAAAATACAAAATGACCTTTGAGGTCCCCCTTCTCTACCTTCTGTGGCTTTTCCCTTACCATCCCACCCATTATCTCAGAAACAAGACCAGGAACTCTGAAGAATGTCATCATTTCTTTTAATACTTTTAGAAAATGCATAAAATATACCTACTGCCTACAGTATCCTTCTAAGTTTTCCTTTCTGCCCCATTCCCTCAATCTAGGATTGGTCAACCCTCACAAAATAGACTAAATAAATTCCTATTATGCTGAGCCATTTTCAGTTTCTAGAGGCAAGAGGCTCTTTCTCTTTGTTATCTGACCCTTTTGTTATCCCTCTCCCCCAATTCTACCATCTGTAAAACTGCAAAATGAAGAATAATCCACAGCTACTTGACAAATAGCCAATAATCTTCTGAAGTAGGCCAATTCTACCTCAGTCCTTCTGTCTTCCCCTTTCTGTTCACAATTCTCATTAACCACTGCTTCCCTTTCCAACCTGGAATCTCTCTGTAATTTTAAAAATAGACTCTTCCAGCTACAAATATTAACAAGCCTCAGAGCAATTGTTCTCAGGTCTGATAGGGTCTGGGGAATGAAATCCAGCACCTTCCAACACATGTGATCCCATCCTTGTTCATAGTCCTGTAATAATAAAAATAACTTATCTTATACAATGCTTTATAGTTACATTTTACATCTATTATCTCATTTGATTTGTACAATAACACCGTGAGATAGAAAATAATTATTTCCATTCCACAGAACAGGAAACTTAAGCTAGTGATCAGCCCATGGGCACAGAACCAGTCAGTGGCAGAACCAAAACTTAAAGCCAGGTTTACTGACCCCACTGCCTCCTTTACAAAAACATGGTGGTTAAAGAACAAATTTCTTTTGAGAAACTATTGAAATAATCAGATTGATTTGGTGTCTTTTTTTAATTGATTCTATTTATAGCTGATTGAATTTATCCAGTAACTGCCTAAGTCATGATTCTTTGTCTTGAACTTAGTTCAGAAATTCAGCTGGCCTATAATGAATTAAGTTTAGAAATCCAGTTCTCTTGTCAATCACTGTTCTATTCTTATGTCAAGGAAATCTGTCATTCTTGAAGAATGCAGAGGGACACCAGGGAGTCTGGTCTAGTATCTTTACACCACCAAGCTAGTCTTCAAAGATGTCTGGTTAGTTATCCAAAGAAATCTGGTCCACTATCTCCAACCTTGCAGGCAGACTCAAACGATAAACATTTCTTAGTCACAGGAGGGAAGGAGGGGGTTGTTGCTAGCCCCCATTCCCAATTTTGCAACCAATCATATTGTCCCCCAGCTCTATAACCCATCATCCTGATTCTGCCGTATAAGATATGGAGTTCTTTTAACCAATCATAACTTGCTCCTCTGCCTACAAAGTTCTGTTCTTTGTTCTGCTTTTCCCTAAAAACTATAAAAAGGGTAGCCATTTCCCACGGTGTGGTCTTAATCTTTTCTGAGAAACTCGAGAACCTATTTGTTGCTAAGTTCACACCTTATCAGTAAATTGATCATACTCAGAATATGGGCCTCAGTTTACCTTATTTTGGACCATAACACTATGAGATAAAAGAAGGGAAGTTCTTAAGATATTAAGGGAAACAATTTTATTTACTTATTTTAAGTCATGGGTTTTTTTGGTGTGTGAGGTAATTGGGGTTAAGTGACTTGCTCAGGGTCATATAGGTAGTTAGTGTCAAATGTCTGAGGCCAGATTTGAGCTCAGATCCCCCTGATTCTAAGGCTGAAGCTCTATCCACTGCACCACCTAGCTGCCCCTGAAACAATTTTAATGAAGAAGAAAAATAGGATTTGTTCTAGGAGACTGATGTAGATGCACAGGGATCTCACCAAATCAACTATATACAGAAGATGGAAGTAAGACCAGGCAACAAGAAGAATGTATGAGAACGACACAATTCTTTAAAAACATGGTCAGAAGTGCTAAAGTTCAATATGTATTGCGACATTTTGTGTGCTAAGGACAACAAAGAGAGTTTTTTCATTTATAGTGGGGGAAAAATAGGATCAAAGAAGGGATAGGACCTTTGAGGTATATGGGATGATTACAACTGACAACACAGAGAAGGAAGAAATGCTCAATTCTTATTTCACTTCTTTCTTCCTCTACCATAGAAAATAACCTTTGTTGGAAATGACATCCATGTCACTGAAAATGCTTAGCAAGGAGATGATATTCAAAATTAAGTATGAAGACAATAAGACAGCATCTAGTTTGCCCTTGATGAATTTACATCTTACCCTATACTCTCCAGTACTAAAAGAACTGGCAGATGTGATTATGATTCACTATCAGTAATATTTGGAAGATCATAGAAAACAGGAGAGATACCATGAGATTGGAGAAGAGCAAATGTCTAGATTGGGAAAATGTGATTACAAAGAGAAAGCACGGTTTCATCAAGAAAACATTTCCTTTCTTGACAGGCTTCCTAAACTGGCAGATGAGAGGAATGCTGTAGATGCCCAAGTTTTTAACAAAGCTTTTGATAAAGTCTCTCATACTATTCTCGTGGAGATGGAGAAATATGAACTAGATGATAATATAATTAGATTAATTCAGAATTGGTTGACACAACTCAAAAAATAGTTGTTAATGGTTCAACGTCAATATGGTAGAAAGTTTCCAGTGGAGTAATCTAAGGATCTGTGCTTGGCCCTGTGCTGTTTAATATTTTTATCAATGACACAGATGTAGGTGTAAAGGGCATGATCATTAAATGTGTCATTAAATGTGCAGATGACACAAAACTGGTCAGGATAGCTAACACAATAGATGATAGAGTCAGTATCCAAAAAATCTTGACAGCCTAGAGAAAGTAGAGTACAATACAGCCAGATTAAAATGTAACTGGGTAATGTTTAACCAAATAAATTTAAAAAAAATACAACATGAGATACTGCTCATTTGTGGTATTCTAAGTCAAAATGTAGCTTGCAGAACATTTCTATTTGAGTCTGACACCACTGGCCTGGAGCACTGAGTTGAATCTAAAAAGATGAAATTGAAGAGGAAAAAATATGAAGTCTTATACTTGGGGACAAAAGAGTAACTTCATAAGTACAATTGGGAGGCATGGTTGAAAACATTGTGAAAAAGATTTGGAGGTTTCAGTGGACTATAGACTAAATGAGTCAGTAGTGTGTTGCTTTGGCCAAAAAAGCTAATATTGCTCTCTTGAGCATATCTTATCTCTGTATATATCTTGAATCATATCTTCCAGGGAAAAGGGAGCAGAATATATTGGTACTATCACTCTCCTCAGACTTCATCTGGAATGTTGCGATCAGGTCTAGATGCCATAGTCTAAGAAGGACTACGATGAAATGAAATATCCAGATGAAATCAGGATAGTGGAAGGCCTTGAGTCTGTTATATGATGATCAGCTAAAGGTACTGGGGAGTTTAGTCTGGAGAAGAGAAGGCTCAAGGAGACATTTTCACAGAAAAAATTTGAAGGCCTGTGATAAGGACTTATTCTTTTTGGATCTAGACTTGTCCTAGATCTAGGTAGAACAACGGGTGAAACTCCCTAACAGTTAGAACTGTCCAGGTGGACAGACTGCCTTGAGAGGTGGTAGGTTCCCCTCCTTAAAGGAATTCAAGGGATGAATTCTTCTGGATTACAATAATGCTGGATGAATACTTCTCAGGTGCATTATACTAAAGATTCCTTTCAGGTGTAAGTTGGACTAGATGGCTGCTAAGGTCCCTTCCAACTAAAATTCTGTGATTCTGCAGTTTCTACTGCACATAAAATCTTATAATAAAAACCCAGATATCTCTATTTGTGTTAACTACTCCAGAGATCCACCAAATCAAATAATTAGGAAATATTTGTTGAACAGTATACCAATAAAAGAAATCTCTTGACTCAAAATTATTGGACCTTTAATTCTATCTAGTTGGCTCAATTCAAATACCACATCATCCACGAAGCCTTCCCTATGAAGGACTACTCACAGCAGTTTTGTATCACTCTTGAGCACTTAATCATACTGGCTCTTGCAGTACAATTGTTTAAAATGTCTTATATCCTCTATTAATTTGGAACACTGAGTAGGAACTCTATCTCGTTGAGCTTTGTAACCCCTTAGCACCCAGTAGGCAACTGTGAAATGTTTGCTGAACAGAGTCCAAGCCCACAAGAATAGAATGGAATAGGCCATGTCCACCTAGGGCAGTTAATTCCCTTTGGTGAAGGACGGACTCATTCTCTGACCATTTTCTGGTTCCTTCCTTACAAGTTGGGCTCAGGAACTTGGCTAGTAACCAAATTTTCTCTAGATTTGGGCTAACAGGAAAGTCACTGAAAGCAAAATGAAAATTTTCTATAGCTCCTTCACTCCTCTGCCCTCAATGTCCAGTTTAATACAAGATAGCAATTTCTACATATCAAGGCAAATAAAGCAGGGGAAAGGGGAAAGAGAAACAGACCAAATCAAGTCCTTGTTCCTCGGTAGTGTCCCTGCTGGGGCTCCTTATTATGCTGTATCGCTTCTTTGACTACATTCTGGATGAATATTCTCTTCTCTAGGAAAGTTGCAATTGTGTAATTATCAGCATTTCTGACCAAATACCATTGTAACTAAATCACCTTTGCTCCAATGAAGACCAAAGCCATTTCACTCATGCTGTTCTTTTCTGACACGTTTTCATATTGTGTCCATGGACACGTGCTTACACAGTATCTCCTCTGCCAGAGCACTAATAATATATAGGAAGGCTGAGCATAGACTTTACATTTTTCATCAACTGGAAAACTTGGAATAGGAGAAAGATGCTAATTAGGAACTGAAGCCAGTAAGACGTCCAGGTTCTGCTGAGGGACCAAAGCTTGTTCAGATTAACTCAATACGTGGATGAGGGGCACACAATTGTTGGGGGTGCTTCTGTACCAGTTAACTGAAAACCTTGAAATTCTACCTCTCTGCACAGCTGAACCAAACTCTTTTGTATTTGAAAGGAATCATTGTGCACTGGGAGTGTCAGAAGATGACACAAATATCCAAAAATTTTTGAATAAATATGCTTTTCAAAGACTTCTTTTAGCTGCTAGTATTTTATGTAAATTTCTGAACAGAAAAGTTATGCCCTTCCTCCTTGAGCTGCTGCAGCTCTTCCCTTGAAATAGTCTTACAAAAAACCCTAGTTTTTTCTGTTTGATAACAAAAAATTTGATGGACAAATCCTCAGGGTTTTTATACAAATGGCTTATTTCCAAGGTATTTGATATCTCCTAGACAAATGCCATAATTACATTTCATACTAATCAGCAAAGAGTACAGAAATGCCAATTTTTTCTATCAACTGGGTAAAAACCAACAAAATATTCCAGGCTCCCCCCAAATCGAACTTTAATAGCTCCTCTTCCAGGGCCAGTAACTGTAAGAAGGGGGTGGGGGTAGGAGGAGAGAACCAATTCTTCAGAACGTTTTCTCCACCTACCTCCATACCTTTAGAAAGTAAGGTCCTTGCGAGCAGGGGCTGTCTTTCTTTTTGCTTGTATTTATTTGTACTTCCAGCTCTTAGCACAGTGCCTGTCACACAGGAGGAGTTTAACAAACGCTCGTTTCTAGCCTGCCTTCCCCGCCCGTAGTTATTGCATAACCAGCCTTTCTACGCAGGGATCTCCTTTCCCTTGTTTCTCCCGTGACAGACAAGTGGATGGCCTTGGAGTCTGGAAGACCTGGGTTCAAATCCTGCCTCTGACATATTCAAGACCGAGGGCAAAACAGTTCGTGCCACTATAAGGGTGGAGTCCCCGCTCGGTTCCGCCCCGGCAGGCTGGGCTGGCGGTTGGGCAGAGGGGGGAGGGGGAGAGGCTCCACATGGATGCACACACACGCACACGCACACACACACACACTCTCACACACACACACACTCGCGCACGTGTCTCCGCCGCCTTCCTTGGCCGCCCTGCTCCCCCCATCTCGGGCCCGGCGGGGGGCTCCATCTACCTCCTAGGGCCGGGGAGGGCCTCGCTGGTCCCCGGGCACGGGCTGTTCCACACCCCCGCCGCGTCTCGCGCCTGCCCGCCGGGGGCCCGACCCCGGCCCGCAGCGGCTCGACCTCCGCCCTCAGCCGCCCAGCCGCCAGGCCGCCAGACAGCTGGAGGAAGGGAGGGAGAGCCTGGAGGGGCGGATAGGGCGAGCGGCGGGTCAACCAACGGCCAGTAACGGCCGCGAGCCCGCTCGGCCCCGGCCCCGCTTTCCGGGGGGCGGAGGCTGGGAAGCGAGGCGACCGAGGGCGGGTTCATGAGTTCCCTCAACGGCCAGTAACGGCGGCGAGCCCAAGCCGGCGGGCACGCGCAGCGCTCGCGCCCCTCCTCCCGCCACCCACAGGAGGAAGGGGGAAGGGGAAGGGCGGGGCCGAGGGCGGGGCGGGGAGGCTCCCTCACTGGCCCTCCAAGAAGGGCGGCGTGGGCGGCGTGGGCGGCGAGGGCGGCGAGCACGTCCGGCCGTCGCGGGTCCGCGCAGCGCCCCCTCGGGCCCGCCCGCCCACCTACCTCGCAGCGTTCTGGTAAGAGAGCAGGATTGGGGGAGTTGGACGGAGCGCGACGTCGCTCTTGGTGACGTCAGAGCCGCCGCGTCGCGTCGCGCGCGGGTGACGCGGCTCTCGGGCCCGTTGTCTGGGCGTCTGAGAGTGGGGGCCCGGTGCCGGCCGGGCTTCCTTGAGTGCGGGGCTCTCAGGGGCGGCGGCGGAGCTTGGACATGGCGCTGAGGGGCCGTTCCAGGGGAAGATGAATAAAGGCTGGTTGGAGCTGGAGAGCGACCCAGGTGAGGGGCAAGAAAGGGGGGGCGGGGCCGGGCTGGGGGAGGGGGAAGGGGAGGAAAGGTTGGCAGGGAGGACCCGGAGTGGGGGTGGGGGAAGGGGGCCTGGGGGAGGGCGCAAATAAATAAGGGCCGTTCTTGCTTACTCTGTGATACCCGGGGCAGATTGGAGCTGTGGCGGGAGCTGGGGCCAGCGGGGCGAGGGCCGGGGCTCGTGGGATCCTGTTGGCCGGACGCGTTGTGGGATGACTGAGGGGACTTCCGAGGTCATAGCAGGAGGCGGTGGGGTGCAGCAGGAAGGGTGCTGGACTTTGAGTCCGAGGAGCGGGGTTCAGATCCCGGCTCAAGTCATTCAGCCTCCCTGGACCTCAGTTTCCTCTGTAAAATGAGCTGGCCTGGGGGAGTGCAAAGTGCCTTTCAGCCCCGATCACAGGTTCAACTTGAATGTGTGCGGGAAACACTTGTGCAAAAACCTCAACAAGTGGTTATTGGACTTTTGAAGAACTTCCCCTGCATTCTGCTTTTGGATAACTCCAGAATTGTTAGGGGCTCTTTAGTCGAGCTAAAGCTTGCCTCTCAGCAAGTTATATCCGTTGTTCCTAGTTCTGCCTTCAAGCATAGCAAGACTAAGCTCTCTTCCACATAATAGCCATTTATATAAGACCTATCATGCCCCCCTTAAGCTTTCTTCACCAAATAACCGTCCTCTGCATGCACTTGTCAACATCCCTCCCTAAGCCATGGTGGCCAGGCCTGTACAGAGTACTTAAGATGTAGTCTTGACTAGTACCGTACCAGCCTTTGTTGTGGATTCTGGGCAACCTAAGATCACGTTATCTTGTTTTAGTTCCCATATCACAGTGTTGATTTATATTTGGAGGATAAGAATCCCAAGGTTGTGCTACTCCCAAGCAAGCAGAATACAAGGAATACTGTGCCAGGAGATGTAATAGGCTTTAAGCAGGGGGTGGGGTACATAGTTTCCAGTTGAATGACAAAGATCTTGGTTAGTAGGTCCTTAGGTGGCAAGAAAACAAGCGCTATGGTGATTTTTGCTCATTAGGTATAGTACAAGGATATTCTTGATCTGGATGTCAGTTCTCAGAGAAGATAGATGTGAGGTTCAACCACTGGTGTTAAGAGAAGTTAGGGGTATATGAATAGCAGAAGGTAAATAATAATTATGATGATGATGATGATAGCTAGCATTTACATAGCACCTACTATGTTCTGGGCACTGTGCTAAATGCTTTGCAAATATTATCTCATTTGATCTTCACAGCAACCTTGAGAGGTAGTTGCTGTGATTATCCCCATTTTACAGTTGAGGAAACTGAGGCAAACAGAGCTTAAGTATGCTCAAGGTCATACAACTGGTATCTCAGGCCAGATTCGAACTCCTGTCTTCCTAAGTTCTGGGCTTAAGGAAAGGAGTTGGGGGTGGGGGGAGGTGGGCAGTGCTGTATCCATGTAAAAGAAGACATGCGAAACATCACAGAGGCCTGTAGCTGGAGGGAACAAGGGTCATGACTCTATCTTCCTTCTTTTACTAATAGTTCCCTAGCCTAGTCACACAATTTTGATCATAAAATGACGGCTTTTCTTTTCTTTCTCCCTCTGCTGTCTCCTTCCTTTTTCAATCCTTTCCAACTCAGGCCTTTTCACCCTGTTGGTAGAAGATTTTGGTAAGTATGAAACTTCCACTAAGATGAGTCAGTTCTTATAATGTTTTTGCCCCTGGTCTATAAGTAACTCCTTTGATTCTGATCTGTCCTTCATATGATCGATCATCAGATCTTGTCAGTTCTACCTCTGCAAAATCTTTTATGCCCATCCCCTTTTTCACTTATACTATAACTAACTCAGATGAGAAGAATCTTGTTAACTGTCATGTAGACTATTGTAATAGACTCCTAAATGGTTTTCATGCTTCCACTCCATTCTGTCTTCTTTCCAGGCCATCCCTCACATCATTGCTTTAGTAATCTCCTCCCTAATTTTCTATTCTGACTGTCATTTCTCTATTCCTAAACTGTCAGTGGCTCCCTTTTGTCTTGCACATAAATTAAAAACTCCTTATCCTGGCATTCACGGCCTGCCCCAAACTAACCCTAATAGGCTTTTCTAGCATTTTTGCATATAATCTCTTTCATATATACTGTCTTTCAATAACATGGACTTTTGTGCTCTTTTCTCCTGTTTTTGGTGCCTTTGCTATCCCCCATGCCTGGGAAATATCTCTCTAAAGTCAAAACTTTCTCAAGTCTTCTTAACCTTTCCCCAACTCCCTCCTATGTACTTTAAAAGGAGCTTGCCCTCTTCATATGTCAGCATTCTACTTAGAGCTATCCTTTTCACCAGTTATTTGTATATATGTTTCCCTCTCTGTGCCCCCATTACTCCATTAGATTGTAAGCTCTGTGTTAGAGGAATACTGTATGTAGCTCTGTATCTCTCGCACTGAACACAGAAGTTGCATAATAAATGTTTGTGGCATTCTCTAGGTGTTAAAGGGGTACAAGTTGAGGAGATCTATGATCTTCAGAGCAAATGCCAAGGGTAAGTGACTTCTCTGTTAGACTCTGTCACTGGCCTAAGATAGTTTGAGAAAGTGTCTCTTAAGTCAGTTCTTCTGATTATATCTCATTGACGGGATTTTGAAAGTTCTAGGATCCTTTGGTAGGGGACTCCTCAGGGGGGCCCAGTCTTGGGTGGCTGGCTTCCCTCACAGTGCTAAGTGTTTTTTATTGTCTGAGATGCTAAGGCTTTACCTGGATGCCATTTTTTTCACCCTAGAACAGAAACCCTTGTAATAATAGGAGTTACCTCCTATAATATCAGAAAATGGGTCATGGTAGCAATGCTAAAAAGTCTCTCCCTAGGGAAAAAAGGACTTGGTTTGAGTGTGGACTTTTTTTTATTTACTTTGGGATGTTGTGGTAGGGTCCAGTGATAGAAGAGGTACTAGTTCAACTTCCCATTGGAACAGAACTTTTATGTATTTCTGTCTTTGCTTTTATCCTGAGGCTTTCACTCTTCCGAGATGGTCCTCTGGTCAATGAATTACTTTTCCATTTTTTTCATAGCATAGAATTATGACATTCTGATTGGGAAAGGGGATGGGTGCCTTTCTTGTGATCCTAAGGTTAAAGACAGAACAGGCTGTGGCATATCTCTTGGGAGTACATATACTTAGTGCTGCCTTAAGCTGAGTTGGTGGCCTTCACAATAGGTTAGCACAGAGTGCCAGTTTTGGAGTCTCTCTCCTTTGCTTGAGTGGTAAAACAGTTTAAGGGGAATAAGAAGAAAAGAAAAATGGTGGAAAGGGGAGCCTTGCCTTCCATCCTGGTCAAACATACTTGATAGCTCCTTTTCTCTCTTCCTCCAGGCCAGTATATGGCTTCATCTTCCTCTTCAAATGGATCGAAGAACGCCGATCCCGACGCAAGGTCTCTACCCTGGTGGACGAGACTTCTGTGATCGATGATGACATTGTGAATAACATGTTCTTCGCCCATCAGGTTATTTGGTTTTCTGTGCTGTGAGGGAGGAGTTTATGTACTCAAAGGCCACAGGATAGGTTAGCACTAGGGAGTTATTAGTGCTTCTACTTTAAGAGAAAATAAACAAAATCTAGGCATTATTATTATGTAAACACTCTGACCAAGAAGATTTCTTCTTTTCTTGGTTGGTTCAAGGGAGGGAATGGTTCCTCTGTCTGAGATTCAAGGAGTTCTGAGTAGATCAGTTGACCAGACCACACTCTACCTTTTTATGTATGCCAGATTTATCAATAATGCTACATTGGTATATGTTTGGGGGAGGTTGGAACAAGATGTGTACCATGGATAAAAGTGCCTATTCTTGGATCTGCAGCTGATTCCTAACTCCTGTGCCACTCATGCCTTACTGAGTGTCCTTCTGAACTGTAGCAATGTGGACCTGGGCCCAACACTGAGCCGCATGAAGGATTTCACTACGGGCTTCAGTCCAGAGGTATGTTGAGGGCCATGGTTGCCTGGCAGAGGCTGCTATGCCCATTCTTTGAGAGCTCGATTGACCTGTATGCAGTGCCCAGCCAAGGCTTGGGCCTCAGTCTTGGGCTACTCTTCTGCTGTTCTCTGAAGAGAGTGAAGTTACTTCATATCAGGAATGGATATGGTGATTTTAACTTTTTGTGTTATTTGATCCTGTCACTTCATTGATTCCCCAGGCAGCCTTGTGAATTGAGTAGAGTGCATGGTGGCCATGCTCATATT